AAACAAACTTGGTAAAAACTTAAAAACAGCCTTGAGCCAAAGTTGTCTATAAAAATAATTAATTTTCTTATTTTAGTATAATTATTTTATATTTTTGAAAAATAAATATAATTATTTTATATTTGTATTTTAGTATTATTATTAACTGTTGTCTAATTACATTACTGCCCCTTTGACTCAGAGGACTACACGGAATCTCAGGCGGTGGCTCACGTGCGGAGACTCCTAGACATCGTAGCGTGCACCACCAGGTTCTCGAAGCCCAAACGACTCCGATCACAATCATCATCGGGGCCGTCTGATTCAAAACCCAAAAAGGTCTATAGTAGGCCCCACCAGGCGTCCGATGGAGGAGAAGGATCAACACCGGAAAAGACGTCGATTTCGGCTGCGATTTCGGAGAGCATGGACATGGCTGTCATTCATCCTACCCCGAAATTATCGGAGTTCTATGATTTCTTTTCATTCTCTCACCTCACTCCTCCCATTCTCAGTAAGTGCCATTTTTTAAATATATATATATATATATATATTATTTTGCTGTTTTCTTGTCCGACAAAACGAGGTGAACGAGATGGAAAAATGGACGTATTTACATTTAGTTTTCCGTGATTGTTTTCAAATGAAAAAAATACTAATAAGTTGGTGAAATCATGAAAAGTTTATTTTAGAAACAGTTATGAACACACTTTTCGAGGAATCATCTACTTGGAATAAAATAAAATCCGCAACATGTATGGATTTCATTTAAATTTCATGGTTTACTATGATTTAAACCTGAAAAATGAATTAATTCCATATCTAAGCTTGATAAACATTGATTTCGAATAAATTATTTCATAACATGAGGATTCATTTGCAAAATGAAATGAATTCTATTATAGAAATATTCATACCAAACATAGTTAATTTAAAGGAAAGAAGCTGGAATTCTTTTTCTTTGTTTTATTTGGATTTCTAGTTAACAGTTGGTTTCACTAAGCTGCCTCAAAAATGAATTAATGAAAACTAAAGACATCCAAAATTTTTCATTTGGGAGATGGAAAATAAGTTTAATTCTTTAAATAAAGAAAGAACTTCGGTGCATTGCCATTGTTATTTGTTAGACTTAATTGAGTTGAATTTTTGAAACTTTATTTTGTAAGCAACTGAAAAGATGAAAATTTTCTTTTAATGGCCTCTTTTCCTTTTTTTTTTTAATTAAATTCTTTTCTGTTAGATTGTTATTTACTAATTTTGGCTTTTGCAGATTTGAGGAGATGTGACCCCAAGGATGTAGAAGAGCGGCTTGATGGTGACTATTTTGTAATGCAGGTATAATTTCACTCTTCATGTTAATAAATCTTCTTATTGGTTATTTGCATCGACTATTGCTTCCTAATATTATGCCTTGATATAGAGCGTAAATTGTTGATGCAATTATCTCCTAAATGTTGTTTGAGGCTTTACTTCATGTCATCGTGATCATTGTGTTTGAGGCATCACACTCTAGTGGTGAAAATGTTATTTCTTCTTTCTCTTTTGTTAACACAAATTCATTGTTATTTTTACATCTTAAATCAATGATAGAATGATAGTTACTCTAGACAGTTGAATGATGATACTTTAATATTTTTGTTCTTGTTATATTTTAACCACCTTTCTGTTTCCATATGCTGTTGATTTCATATTTTTCCTGCTACCGCTTTTACTGATATGGAATATGCAAAATGTTTGTGCAGATAAAGATCTGCAATGGGAAGTTAATACAGGTGGTTGCTTCGGTAAAAGGTTTTTATACCGTGGGAAAGCACTTCCTCCAGAGCCACTCTTTGTTAGATCTTTTGCAAAATCTCAGCCAAGCCTTTGCCAATGTGGGTACTGCTTATCTTTAATTTCTAGGCTTTCATGAACATTGCTCATATGTTGATTTGAACCAATTGCCAGATTAGACAAGGCTCAAGAAATCTGCCTGCTTTATACTGATTGCAACATTTTAGTCTAATTTTGATAAGCAGCTTTTTTACTTTATTTTGTCTAAGATGTTCTGAAATTCTAGTACCCCACTTTCTAGAGGGAAGAAAAAAAGGTTGGTAGTTTGTGCTGCACAGTTAGAAAATACTTTAGAACTGTAAATGGAAATGAAAGACACTGAGGAAGGAAAAACAAAATTTCTTCTTTATCCATTGGCCACAAGGATCATTGTCATCAATACACTGCTGCTGTCTGGTATTTCACTTTGCATTCTCAACTAGAAAAGCTTAAGCTGCTATAGAGTGAACCAACAATAACATCAAGTTGTTATATGCTATAACAATGACTAGTTCTCCTACTGACTTAATGACAACCCCCTACACTACCTTTTGTTCCTTTGCCACTCATAATGGTTAGTAATGACTTGTAGGTAATTGTCTAGAGATAGCAAAGTAATTTAAATCCAACGACTTCTGACACGTTGCAATCCAACTGGAGCAGATTTTCTTGTTAGAAAATCAGTTTGGCTCACTTTAGGTTGTGCTTATTTATCTATTTGTTTATAATTGCTGCTTTTTATTTTGAAAAGCACCAGGTTGGGTCTGATGGACGCCTTTCCCTGTGAAAATCCAAGCAAGATATATTACAAAAATATGCCAAACATCTTTGCTACAGTTTTTTTTTTTTTTTTTTACCTCTGACAACCTTTCATATTACTTGTATATCTAATTCTATAAGTTATCATTAATTTATAATATTAATATATCACAGTAACATTTTAAAGGTTGCCTTTGCATGTAGATTGGTTGGGGTGAGATTGAGGTCTATCATTTTGTAGGCAGGTTTGTTTGGTGCTAAAATTTAACAACTCTATTTGTATCGGGTTCAGTTTGGGAGAGTGATTTGTAATTTTCAGGTAGGATTCTGGTGGACAGAATCTGATCCAACCTGACCCATTGGCATCTGTAATTGTCCAGCATTGACCAGTGTGTTTTTTCGGCTGTTCATGCCAATACATTGTGCCTAGCTTCCAGGTTGTGTCTGTTTGTTTGTTACCATAGATGAATACCCGCACGATTTTGATCTTTAGAAAAATGTCAAAATACAAAGAGGAGTGTTCACCATGTTGAGCTTAGCTTTTCTTGCTCTGTAAAATTTGGATCAACCTTTTTCAAGCAACGTAACAAATCTGAAACCTGACCAGTCTAAAGTTTGTTGTCACATGACATGACTTTTATTTTAGCTTCATTCTCACTTATTTGCTATGTTAATTAGTTTAACGGGTCAGTTTGTGATTGATTCGCTCTTGTGCTTGATGCAGGCATATGAATCCCTTATGAAGGCTTTTGTAGAACACAATAAGGTGACCTTTTCTTTATTTGCATGATAGGTTTTTTACCTTGCAAACCATGGCATCTCTGAAAGCAAATTTGGAAGCTCTTATGTTCTTTTATTGCATTTTTTGCCTCCAGTTTGGTAATCTTCCCTATGGATTTCGTGCAAATACATGGCTTGTCCCTCCCTCTGTTGCTGAGTCTCCATCAAACTTTCCCTCTTTCCCATTAGAAGATGAACAATGGGGTGGTAATGGTGGGGGCCAGGGAAGAAATGGTGAATATGATCTTCGGCCATGGGCTACAGATTTTTCAATATTGGCTAGCCTTCCTTGCAAAACCGAGGAGGACAGGATTGTCCGAGATCGCAAGGCCTTTTTGCTCCATAGCCAATTTATTGATGTCTCAATCTTTAAAGCTGTTGCAGCAATACAGCATGTTATCAATTCCAGGTTAAATGCCAAGGGCACTGTAAATTGCCATCCGGATTCAGTCCTTCATGAGGATCGCATAGGTGACTTGTCAATTATAGTAAAACATGATTTGGCAGATGTGAATCTCAAGTCTGAGGTAAAGGCTGATGGTCATCAATCAACTGGCATGACTGCTAATGAAACTGCTCAAAGGAATTTACTTAAGGGGATAACTGCAGATGAGAGTGTGGTTATTCATGTAAGTCCACATCTTCTTTTCTACTCTACTCTACTTAGGCATCTACATCAACTTATTTTACCCTCTTCTTCTAATGAATTTTTTATTTGTTTCCTAAGAATGAGCTGAGGTGTTGGCTTATAATCTTTCCCTGCTTTCCTCCCGCCTTCCCCCTCCTCCCTTATCTTTCTGTGTATATGATGTGTCTGATTTATCCTCTGCTTCTTTGTCATCATTATCATTTTTTTCCTTTCTTCCTCTGTATCTTGGAAAAAACTTCTAACAATAATCTGATTTGTCACCTGAGATTGACATGGGTCACTTTTATTTCCCTCTCAATCCTTTCTTCCTCTGTTATGTGTGTGTCTATGCATGTCAGCCCGTGTACTCATACACAGCTTTTCCAAAAACAAATTTCCCTATCGTGTTCTAGTAAAATCTGAACTCGATACCTTCATCAGTCCTGTTTTCCAAGGCAGAACCATTTAAAACCTTATTTCACACTGCCAGATGACAGCATGTAGTTTTTACTAGCTTAACATGTATCCTCGTGTATCCTTGTAGGTTTTCCTTTCCAGTGCCTTAAAACTAAATCTCGTCAACCGTCTTTCGTGTAGTTTTCTGATCTTTATCACAATGCCCAAACCTTGCTAAATGGATGAAATTTCAAGATTATGCATGATGGTAGAAGTTTCACCCAAAAACCCTTTTCAAATTTAAATTCGTTGTTTTCACTAATCAACATAGTTACCATCTCACAGGATACTTCGTCATTGGGCACTGTCATTGTTAGACATTGTGGGTACACTGCAGTTGTAAAAGTTGTTGGTGACGTGAAGAAGGAGAAGTCTGGTGCTCAGGATATTGAAATTGATGATCAATTAGATGGAGGAGCTAATGCTCTTAATATTAACAGGTCTGGATTATGAGCTGATGCTCTCATTTATATTTCATGCATATAGCAAACACAGTGGCATGATAAATGAATTCTCATTACCTATCAGTCATAAAGTTGACTGCATTATATCAATCATGATCTACCATATAGCATTGTTGGTATCCATTCTGTTTAACCAAGCTTTTTAGTTGCTTGCTGTCTTCTGGGTTTCTAATTGAAAGGGACAGCACTACTTGTCTGCCATGAAAAGATAATAAAACAGGATATGAATTGATCTTCTGAAGTTAGGGAAGTTTTATATGTGAAATCAAGAATTTGATGAATGGACCAAACTATACAAAATTGACTGCCTTTTGGAGATGTTTCATGTGTTGCGTGGTGTTATCACACGTCAATTAGGTTTTGGGGATTTCTATTTTGAGCCTTTCGTCAACTGCCAATTGGTTTTGGGATGGATGCTTGATATGGTATAAGGAGTGTAGGTTATTTGTTCCCCATTTGTCATTTGTCATTCATTGTTTATTGCCCTACATTTTTTTGTATCTGTGTTCAATTTGTTAGAATTGTTGCATGCATTTTGCTAATCTTCAATGACTTACTATGACCTGAAAACAATATATCATCCACCACGTAATGATGAGGCATTGAATTTATTGCAGTCTAAGGGTTTTACTTCACAAGTCCTGCCCTGCAGAATTAACTGGAGGAGGCCAATCACATCAATCCAACCTGAATGATTCTGAAGCTTCTAGATCTCTTGTTCAGCAAGTGATTAAAGAAAGCTTGACCAAATTAGAGGAGAAGTTGGTTGCTAGTGAAAGGTTTATCAGATGGGAACTAGGTTCTTGTTGGTTGCAACATCTACAAAAGCAGGAAACTTCAACAGATCCTACTTCAAGTGGACTTGCTAATGATCATGAGGCTGAACCTGCTGTCAAAGGTCTTGGGCAGCAATTTAAATTTTTAAAGAAAAGAGATAAAAAACTAAGCAATGTCAGTAGCACAATTGACAAGGAAGAAAATGATTCTAAGTCATGCAGTATGGATGTGAAGTCTAATCTAGGACAGCAAAGCAATGGTGACTCCAGCAGTGAGATGGAATTGAAGAACATGATTTCTGAAGAAGCCTTCTTGCGTCTTGAAGAAAGTGGAACTGGTCTTCACTTAAAGGTTTCTGGGTCAAATGCTTAAATTTTTCTTACATTTACTTGTTAGTTTTTACTTGACGTTGGGCATTGATTTACTGTGCTATAATTTGTGTGGTTTTACATGGTTATGCTTCAAGCTATCCCTGCATTTTTTATTTTCTTTGTAATTACTATTCTTGTTGTGGTATTAAAGTTCTCTCTTATTATATTTTGAACTCACTCTTTTGAGTTCACTTTGTGCTACAGTCAGTGGATGAGCTTATTAAGATGGCATACAAGTATTATGATGACATTGCTTTACCAAAGCTGGTACCATTCAATAGCCTCCTTAGCTATTATCTTTCAAACACTTTTTTTGGGTTTTATGTGCAGTTTATGAACCCACTCTCATACTTTATTAGGTAATGGACTTTGGATCACTTGAACTTTCTCCTGTTGATGGCCTTACACTAACTGACTTTATGCATTTAAGGGGACTACAGATGCGCTCTTTGGGTCGTGTGGTGAGGAAACTCTTTCTATAAAACTTGTTCTCTTGGATCCTTTTGTGCAACTTATTGGCATATTCTTCGAGTAATAGTTTGATTTCCTAAGAAATACAGTTTTATCCTGGAAAAGTTATGAAAAATACACACTTAAAAGTGCAATTTCCTGTTTTTGTTGACTCTGATGTCATTGTACATGTCAGGTTGAACTGGCTGAGAAGCTACCTCACATACAATCACTTTGCATCCATGAGATGGTTACTCGAGCTTTCAAGCATATATTAAAAGCAGTTTTTGCATCTGTTGACAAATTTGAGGACTTACCTGCAGCTATAGCTTCATCCCTTAATTTCTTACTTGGAAATAGTGGAGTGGAAGATAATGATCAAAATGCGAATGATGACTATTTTCTAAAAGTGAGGTGGTTAAGAAAGTTTCTTGCTGCAAAATTTGGTTGGAAACTGAGAGATGAATTCCAGCATTTAAGAAAACTATCCATTCTTTGTGGTCTTGGCCGTAAGGTACTATTTGTTGTTGACTGCTTTCGGCTGCTGAGTGCTTCAGTGACTGAGTTTTACTGATTTTTTTTCCCCAGGTTGGGCTTGAGTTGGTTCCTAGAGATTATGATATGGAATGCCCAAAACCCTTCAGAAGTTGTGATATTATTAGCTTGTATCCTGTCTGTAAGGTGGATCTCTCTTTCTCTCTCTTCCATTTTTTTGTAGTTTCAAAATTGTTATTATCTCAATGAGCCAGCTTGTTATGGATTCGCATAACCACACTCTACCTTTAATGATCTACAGCATGTAGGATGCTCTTCTGCTGATGGCCGAACATTGTTAGAATCATCCAAGATTGCTCTTGATAAAGGAAAACTAGAGGATGCGGTTAATTACGGGACAAAGGTATTTTCCCATTCAATTTATAGTTAGAATTCACATTTATTTATGTCCTATGTTTGGTGAATGAGGGAAGAGAAAGTGATATAAATTTTATCTTGTTTTCTTTTATATTTTCTCTTGTTTGCTTAAAATTTGAGGAAAGCAAGAAGAGAAGCAGAAAGGAAAATCTCTTTTCTCCCTTGGACTTGCCAAAAGTTTTCTTAGAGTAGTGGAGAGTTTGAAGGAACCATCTCTTTTCTCTCTCAAAACTAAAAAAATAAAAGCATAAAACATTTAAAAGTAGAGCAGTAATCAATCAAGTATTTCTCTCAATGCATCTATACTGAGAGAAAGGATTGTTTGAAATGGTTGCTTCATGTCAAACATCACTTCCATTTAAACTCTTAACATATAATCTTGTCTTTTAACAAGTCAATTATATTTTGCACGGAACTTTTGAGGCCAGATTATTTTTTACACTACGCTAATGAAACCCTGAATAATGAATAGTTCACCATTTAATGGCTTTGTAGGTGATTTCTAATTAAATATTAATTGAATTGTTAAAAATAAGAATATGTGCCAAAGGTGGAGTAACCATTTCATGTAATCTTTCTGGTATATATAATATATAAAAGTCATTGCTTGAGTTGGTGTCATGTCAATTCAGTATTTTCTTTAAATGCTTCAATTGAGTTGGTGTCATATCTAACTCGATAACTGATCCCCTCACTCTTGCTATTTTCTCTTCTTTTATTGAAAGGATTGTTACATCCTACTTTTTATCCTATATATAATAGGTTAATCTTACAACTAATGTTTAATAGATAAAATAACCTTTTCAATTTTTTTTTTCAATTATTTAATTACATACATATCATGTATCCTAAATTCTTGGTATGTATATGTGAGCGTGGATTTTAACTATATTGACTTTAAGCAACAAAGGGAATAACAAAAATGTTCCTTTTTTCCTCTCATTCCTCCCTTTGTTTTCTCCTCCTTTCTCCTACATAGTGAAGGCTAGGGATTCAGCTTTAATAAAGAGGACTTCCATTCTTCTGATATTATCTGTTACTTGCTTTTGAAGGCATTGGCAATGATGATGGCTGTATGTGGTCCCTACCATCGAACTACTGCAAGTGCTTACAGTCTTCTTGCTGTGGTTCTCTACCATACTGGAGATTTCAATCAGGTATCAAAACCTTCTGCTATATTTCAGGTTAAGATATAGGAAAATGAATTTTCTCATTCTCCTCTTAGAGGGAGATGAAAGAAAATGAGAAGGTGTGAGGTTCTCTGAATATCATTCATATGTTCCTCTGCTTGTACCATAGAAAAGTAAATTAGAGAGTGGGAATTTTTTTAACTCGGCTTCATAATTATTGCTAGGTCTTTTGTTAATGTCAAATCTAAAATTGCCTTACAAGACTGCTCACTTGAGAAACTATATCTTTTAATCATTTTGAATGAAAATATAATTGTTTTCAATTTTCATCCATACCATTCAGTCTAATTTGTCTATCAAATTTAACTAAACTGGGTATAACTGAGAATATTTATTATCTAAATTATTTCTTCTTCTTATTTAGGCAACTATATATCAACAGAAAGCTTTGGATATTAATGAGAGGGAGCTTGGTCTTGACCATCCGGACACAGTGAAAAGCTATGGGGATCTTTCTGTATTTTATTATCGGCTCCAACACATGGAAATGGCTTTGAAGTGAGTCAAGGATTATTGTGGTTTATCTTGCATTTAATTTGCCAACATGTTTATATTTGTGCTTTCATTCTATAGATCTTAGCTGCAATCTTGCGCTGCTAAGAGTGATAATTCTTGTGATTTTCCTCGAGTCCCTTTTCTTGCTTGATAATGGTTCACTATATACTCTAATACTGTAAACATAAGGAGCTTGTGTTCTTTCTTTGCTTTCTATTTGCACTCGTGACAAACTTAATGCATTTTTGGCAGATATGTAAACCGTGCTTTATTCCTTCTTCATTTTACTTGTGGATTGTCTCACCCAAACACTGCTGCAACCTATATAAATGTGGCTATGATGGAAGAAGGCATGGGAAATGTTCATGTTGCTCTCAGATATCTACATGAAGCTCTAAAGTGCAACCGGAGACTATTAGGCGCAGATCACATACAGGTCTCTCTCTCTGGTCTCTGTGTGTCTCTTTAGCTGTATGCATATGTTCATCATACACATGTAATTTCATAGCCTGACCATTTTATGTGATTTCCTCATGACAGACGGCTGCAAGCTATCATGCCATTGCCATTGCTCTTTCATTGATGGAAGCATATTCTTTAAGTGTGCAACATGAGCAAACTACACTCAAGATACTTAAAGCAAAACTCGGACCAGATGACCTCCGTACACAGGTAAATACCTCAGTTATGACTGTCTATACCAATTAGCTAGGCAATTTTGCGCACCTGTGTCCACTCTGTTAGATAGGAGGTATATTGAGATCACCAATCAAAAGATTGAAATTTGAAGTGAAGCATTATTCCTGCTGAGTAACATTGTTAAACTCTTTATGAACTGCATTTCCTTTGCAGGATGCTGCTGCTTGGCTTGAATATTTTGAATCAAAAGCTTTAGAGCAGCAAGAAGCAGCACGAAATGGAACTCCCAAGCCTGATGCATCCATTGCTAGCAAAGGTCATCTTAGGTATTAATATGGTATTCCCAAATTACTAGTTATTCAATTATATCATTATTTCTTGCAGCACCAAAACCTGTGACCATTTCTTGCAGTGTATCAGATCTCCTCGATTACATTAGTCCTGATCAAGATTCTAAAGGAAGTGATGTGCAGAGGAAACAGCGGCGTGCCAAGGTATTATATGTTTCTGGCCGTGTTGTCATAACTCTTATAAAACAATCGTGATATATCAAGGCAAAATGATTTTGTTTCAGATTATCTGATCCTCCACTTATAAGTTGAAACCAATGTTTGATTTAATAATGAACTAAATATATCCAAGGATTTAATCTAATTGCTATGGCCACTTTGGATAGCAAAGATTAGGCCAGCTAATTGAAATGAGTGGAGCATTTCTCACTATGGCAACTAGATCATGTAGCTTCAGTAAACTCAAGTTAAATAGCCAAAGCATTTTTATCTCTCAAACTATCCTCTAGGAGGAGTGCAGCAGACATTTTTTTGGTGCTTATATTGATTTAAGGCCTTAACAAAACAAAGCCTCAATTCTAACACCAAATTAGATACTATAATTTTGAGCTGCTAACTCAAAATGTACCACTGTCACGAATTCAGTAAGATCATTTTTAAAAAACACCAAGAACCAACATTAAACTGATTAGCTTTACAATTTGTTATTGGCCATCAAAATTTTGTTGACTGACATTTAACTAAGAGCTTAGAACACTTCTTTTTTGTGAATATGAGGTTGCCTTTGAAGTTTTCAAGAATTTTCTTTTTCCAATCTCCTCTTATTGTATCCTTCTTATTGTTTACTTGCTCATTGTCAGATTCCATTTTGACACGTCACTACTTCTGTAGATCAGAATTTTTGTATCTCATACTTTACCTCACTCAACTTTTAACATTAGCATTTTTTTTAAAAAAACTCACAGGTGTTACAGATTAGTGATATAACCCATGATACACATGAGAAGTTTGTAACAGATAGTTCTATGTTCCTTGATGTCTCAGAGAAGCCTATGGGTACCACAGATAGTAATGAAATAGAAATGGTGGCTTCTATTCATCTTGAAGAACCAGAAGAAACTGATTATAATACTAGAATTGAGCCAACAGTCACTAACGAAGTTGTTGAAGAGACAAATTCAGATGAAGGGTGGCAAGAAGCCAATTCGAAAGGGCGTTCAGGAAATGCTGCTGGAAGGAGGTCTGGTAGGAACAGACCAGTTCTTGCAAAGCTAAAGGTGAACAATTCCGAATATTCAAATGTTAGAGAAAGTGGGTCAAGGCAAGAAATTATTTCACCAGCGAGAAAAATTGCCTCCAAGAACATTGTAAAGGAGGTGCTGCCACTGAAGCAATCAAAGCCCCGTAGCTCAAGACCTAGGGGGAATTCGGTTAGATTACAAGCTTCTGTTTCAAACGGTTTCTTCGCATCAGCAAATCTCAGTGCCATTGCTTCAAAATCTCTTTCTTACAAAGAAGTAGCTGTAGCACCTCCAGGTACAGTTCTAAAGCCATTACAGGAGAAGATAGAAGAACAAAATGAGGGAAAAACTGGACAGCAGATGTGCACCATACCAGCTGAGACGGCAAACCTGGAGGGTGGAAACAATATCCCTGTTATTGATGATGTAGTCGATGATGATGATGAAACTGAAGGAACCCATGATAGTGAAAATCAATCAGAAGAAACTGCTCCTGAATTTGATAAGGTTTCCTCTTGTAATCAGGAAAAGCCTGTAACAAAGGCAAGTAAGCTATCGGCGTTAGCTGAACCATTCAATCCTGGAGCACTCCACATGAATCACCAAATAAATTCAGTTGCTGTTACAAGTGTTTATGATGTAACAGCTTGTCAAGGCCCGTTTGCAGAGCCTGTTGAACCTCCAGTGGCTGTTCGAGTTCCTTGTGGGTCCTGGTCACAATTATATTACGGAAACAGTCATTCTTACAGCATGAAACATGGCTTTCTGAGATACCAAACTCCAATTTTGGAACAAAGTGGATTTGGACCTCCGATAGTTATGAATCCTCATGCACCTGAGTTTGTACCCAGCAAAGTTTGGCAAACAACGCCTGGACCTGCTGATTCAAGTGTCTCAGATGAGTTGAACTCTTTGGGTGAAGTTATGAACACAGAAGTGAAGGAAGGTGATAAGAAATCCACTAGGGAAGTTAAAGATTCTAATTTGCAAAAGAGCAGCTCTGAGGAGAAATCGGAGCTAGCGAGGCAGATTTTGCTTAGCTTCATTGTCAGGTCAGTCAAGCAGAACATGAATCCTAAAAATGAGCCTGCAGTCAGTGACAAAAGGCTGAGCCATTCGGAAAATTCTTCAGATGCAGTTACAAATGACAGTGCAATTATAAAAATTCTTTACGGGAATGAAGGCAAGGATTTGGATTCTCAATCCAGTAGCGGTGAAGAACCAAAAACATTAGATGTAAATAAAAAGAAAACCGGGGATGGCGAAGGATTTATAGTAGTAAGGAAACGGAGAAGAAACAGGCAGCAGTTGACAAATGGAGTAACTGGGTTATACAATCAACAATCAGTCTGTGCTTCTGTTAGGTGAAGAGATAGCTTGAGAGCAAAACGTGGAAAATAACAAGATGAGTGTCAGCCTGTTTAACCCTTTCCATTTTTTTTTTCTTACCTCCTGGAGTCCGTATTAACAAGGTAGAAATGGATGGAAAAGCAATTTAGAGACAAACTTCAGATTTGGTCAAGCTGGTCTTAGTTCCTATGTACTTTTGAGATCCGCTTGGGGTTGTGCTTAATAATGTCTGTAAACTGGTTTTCTTACTTAGAAATTTTGTTTGATCAAATAAAAAATGTAAAAAGCTAATTGGCAATTTCCATATAGTTTCCTTTTTCTTTTAAGTACTTGTATGACGTGACAATTTTAAAATATTAAACAATAACATAAGAAAAAATAATAATACAATTTAAAATTTTAATAAAAATGATATATGAATTTGATAAAAATTAAAAATATATTTTATATTTAACGCAAAAACTAAAAATATATTTTATGTTTGGTGTATGTATATGCTTTTTCCATCTCCAAACCTTATGGACATAACTTCAAATATTGTAGGGAAACCACCATGTCTTGAAATTAGGGCTATGAAAAAAAATGTGAGTATCATTTCAATGTCCAAATATGTTTTGTTGTTTTTGTCATTATTTTATAGGGGCTTTTAAATATATCACTAAAATTTCTTTATATATCTATAAAATTTTCTTTCAAAAACATTGATATATCAAATGTCAATTTTAACTTATAGTAAATAATAAAAATATCTTTAATAGTTTATACACTAAAAAATCATACCATATTTATCATAAATGAATTTTGGAATGTTATATTGTGTTTTTGAAAATTCATTTTCAAGATTTATTGCTTTCTCGTAAATGAATTTTCAAGAATACAATATAACTTTAAAAAATTTAGCTTCAAGAATACATAATATTTTTTTAAAAAAATTATATTTAATTATAAACTCTTAATAATAAGAAAATCTAGATTTTTAATATTGGGGTCATTGAAAAATATCAACAAACTAATAAATTTGACAGTAAAGATTGGTGACCGAAAGATTACATACCGTCAAATTTATTAATTCGCTGCTAACATTGTTAGCGTAGGGTGTTCAAGCTCCAACATATTGGATGTATAAATCTAACAATAAACTCATTTAATCTTTTACCAAACATTGTCTGATAAATAATATTTGTAACATTTATCCAATTATAACAAATGTGCAAAAAATCGCTAATTCATAAGAGCACTCATACAAGTGGTTACTGCACTATATGCGATAAGGTAGTTACACTTCATCGCACATAATGTAACAGTCAATTTACACGAGCCCCTTTTACACTTAGTAATTTATCTCATAACTATATATGTCAGAATAACAAAAATGTTGTAAATATTATTAAACAAATAGTACTTGGTGGCCGAAAAATTAGAAGTTTCTATTGACGGATTTGATTTACTAAGAAAATTGAAAACTTCAAGTTTCTCATATATTCATTTTAGAAAAACTTCATATTTTTTTGAATATACATTTTCAAGAAGTCTTGCATTTTATCGAAAATAAATATCTGAGAAGATATGAGGTTTTTTAAAATTAAATATCCAAAAATTTTTGAAATTTCTCAAAAATGAATATTCGAGATTTTTTAAAGTTGCTCGAATATTTATTTTTGAGAAACTTCAAAGCTTATTGGATATTCATTTTTGAAAAACTTGATTTTAAAAAGTGAAGAAGAGAAAAAGGGATAAAAATGAAAAATAAAAAGTTAGGAGTTGAATATATTTAATAAAAATAAAAAAATGAATTTTTTTTAGTTGATTACAATTTTTTTTCCATATTATATTTCACTTTTAATTATTTTAAATCTCTATCTTATATTGTTTTATAATATTTTACAACACAAAAATTATATTAGAATCACAGTAAAAAGTTAGAAAAACATCTTAGGTTTTTAATTTTAAAATTTTCAACTTCAGTTTTTTAAAAATATAATTATTTTTTTGTTTGGATAAAAAATATTTTTTAATGATTAATTTATGCTTATAAAAAATATTGATTTGTGCAGTTTTTTATTTCAAATTTAAACCATTAAAAAATAAAAAAAATTCAATACTTTAATAACAAATTATGTAATTGGTAATTATATCAGTAATTTAAAAGTAAATTTCAGAAATATACTATATAGTTTAGGTCAAAATAAATTTAGTACTTAAAATTTAAAATATGATATTTAACCACCTTTAACATTATTTCTGTAAATTCAAGGACTAATTTGTCACTTAAAAATTTTCTCCATTTATTTATTTTTTATTTTACTTTCTTTATCCACATGAATTTTGTAACACCTCAAACCATCCTTCACTAGTCTGATTCTTTTTTTCCTCAACATCACTAGTCATTTCCTTAATCTCTTTCCTCACTCCACTCTTCTATTTTTCTTTTTCAAGTCTTTCCTCACCTTCGAACCAATGCTCCCTTATGTCTCTCTCTCTCTTAAAACTCACTCAATCAATAATTTTTTTTTATAAAAAATTTGAGATAAATAAATTATTCAATGATCAGATCAAAACAAAATATATCATATATGATAGCTTAAAATAAATAATTATAAATCTTATATTTAAAATGATCTTAACAAATCGTTATCGATAGGACTTAAACTTAAAAAAGTAAAATTTATTCGTCGAAAAAGATGAGCTTTTGAATCAATCACTTGTTGATTACTCGATCAATAATTTTTCTTTCTTTTTGTGCCAAGTTAACCAATCCAAATAAGAGTGATCAAAACCTGTATGAGACCAAATAAAGCTTTCTTGAAGAACCCTATTAGAGAAGGGTGTGGCAAAGACAAAGCTAGAGAATTCCGGACCACAAGGCTAGAGCTACAGCGCAAGGAAAGTGGTGCTAAATTCACACTTTCTTGCTTGGGCATCCAAAATACAAGAAGAACCCCAAGTTATTTGTTAATAGTTTTAGATTTGTATAACTTTATTTTGGATTTTATGATTAGATTTAGAAATATTAAAAAAAGAACGTAAAATGAGAGGAGGAGAACAATGTGCATCTCGTGATGACAGGTAACAATGCTCAAGCTCTGATAAAGGAATCCCATCACATATTTATGGAGTTTATTATTAAATATAAAATTAGTTTATATACTATATATTTTTTTTATTAATTTAGTATTTTAAAAAATAAAATTATATTTAAGTATTCAAATTTTAATTTGGTTTTTAATAATTGGAACTAACATCGTTAATAAAATTGTTTAAATGATATTAATATTTAATAAAATCATAACATATGATAATAAAATATCTTATCATTATCGTATTATTTGTGGATTCGTTATCATAATTCAACATTTAAATAAAAAAATTTTAAAAAAATAAAAAATAAAAAGTTAAAAAAATCTCAAATATAAAATTTTGATTTTTTTTAATTCAAAATTGAAAAAAGAAAAATATAAAACAAGACATGAACAAAAGGATTCGAGAGAGAAGGAAAAAGGGAAAGAGAGAAAGAGGGGGGAAGAAAGGCGTGGTCGACGGGTCCAACACAGCAAATCAGCGTAAGCAAGTCGACGTTTTTTTCATAGTAGTTTTAAGCTCATGCAATGCACAGGTGATTATTATATATAAAAAATTTAATTATAATATAATTATTAAATCTAATATCTTATATACATATATAAAAATCAAAACTTTTGGAAAAAAAAAATTTAATGTGGATGGCTTAACTTATTAACATGTGGACTATCTTTTTTTTTAACATGTGTACTCATTTTAATGCATAATAATTAATTTACATTCAAATATTTAATTAAATCAATATCAATTATCACCTTAATTATCTTTTAGTAATTCCTAACTTTAAGGTTCAATATTATTTTTTGAAGTACATAAACATTACTTTGAATTTAATTCTTTTCTACCAATCTAAATTCAAATCCATATATATATCATTTTTATTTTTGCTAATCTTTAATTACTTTTAAACATAATTTCCTTTTCTATTATTAATTGAATTAAAAGTCAAAATTGTATATTTTGTGAATATTCATTTTTAAGTCTATAAATAAATAAATGACAATTTAATTTACCTTAAATCACCCTTAATTAAATTAAATTCCTAATTTTAGATATACAACTTCAATAGGTTCATCTAAGTGTAATCACTAAAATTAATCATATGACGAGTTTTTTTAATGTAAAAATGAGAGCAATTGCTTTTGAAATTAAATGTTACACTTAAATGGGGTGGAATAGTGCATGATATTGTTGAATTCGTCAAAGTTATGTTACCTGCAGCTTTTAGCATTGAGGAGTAGAGTAAACACCTTAGCACATAGTTCATCTAAATTGGAATGTTGATATAGATGGTCCAAGAATTTGGTTGGATTCACTTTCAAACTTCTTTATGTTATCTTAATGCTATATGATTTTAAATGCCATAATCTTATTGAGACTGGAAGTAATTTCTTAAAGGTAAAATGTAAATTGAAATAGTTAACTCATAAGTAAATTGGAAGTAATGGTCATTTAATATTATGTCAAACGCTTTGAAGAAAGACATAAATAAAATTGTATTTACTTTATTATTTTCGAATTATAAAAGTTTTTGTTTGAATAATGTATCATGCTAATCAAATAGTTTTTTTTTTTTTTATAACATGCTAATCAAATAGTGAATCAATAATAAATATGTTTAAATACTATTTTTTTTAATTAATGGCAATTGATATGTATAATTTAATAAGTTCACATGTTCAAAAATTATATATCTTTCTTATTTTTACTTAAGTTTCAAAATGATTATGGCAATAAGATATTTGATTTTAAAAAAAAAAAAACTATTCAATTGGATATGCAAATATGAAAAGAAGATATTTGAAATTAAATTATTTTTTAATATATATTTTAAAATTAAAATTAAAATTTAAAATATAAATTAATTAAAGACACATTTCATTTTTTTTTTTTAAAATGTCTACATGTCAAAATATTATATTATCCAAATAGGACAATTGCCTTTATTGCTAAAAACTTTTGTTTACTATAAATAGAGAATTATCTTATACTAAGATTGTTCAAAGGTACACCAAATGAACCAAAAACCTCCAAATGCATTTGTTTTGTTGTGATTAGGTAAATTTCTATTCAAAAATTTTATTAAATCTTTTATACAGTAACCAATGACTTTTATTTTTAGTTTGATTTAGTTTTTCAATCACTGTTAATAATGTATTGTTTTTACTTTTGGTATTATTTCTCTTTTGTTTACCTTTTTCAACCAATAAATTTTTTACTTTATCA